TGGAGAATCCATTCTAGCCAGGAAAACATGGTGAACACTTCACGGTAAGTATGAGCCTGTGCAGGGCAATGAGACCAGTGCCTCCTAACACTTTCCAGAGGAAAAGAGGCCTGTGCTGTGGTCAGCCTTGCTAGTCAGAGCAGTCTGCAGATGAAAGATAAGCTCTCAGTCAGAAATGCAGATGCTCAGACTCCACCCAGCCCCACTGCATCACAATTTACTTTTTAATGAGGTCCCAGGGGATGGGCAGGGTGGAGGGGGAGGGGTGGAGGGGTGGGAGATGGGGGTGATACATCAGGTGTGAGAAATGCCAGTGAGAAGGGTGAATGAGAATCCACAGTGCAGGAAGGGGAGGAAGGCTGTTTCACACTGAGGTCTGCCACACCAGGGCCATCTGGGCGTGACTCCTGGTGGGGAGGTGAAAGTGGGAAAGTGAAGAGCCCAGTGTGCTGGGACCAGGCCAGGTGAGAGTGGAGGGTCAGCAGATTCTGCATGGTAAAGGGCCTCGAGGGGCCTCAGATTGAAGCCAGCCCTCTGCTGAGGACCACTCCAGACCCCCTTGGAGCCTTCAGTTTCTTCAGCCACTTTTCCTTGTCCCTGTCCCCTTGGGCTGCCGTGAGGAACAGATCAAAGGGTCTGAAAAACTCTTCCCAACTGAGGCCAATGGCAGTTGTTTGGAAGAGAAACAAACTGCCCTTTGCAAGATGCTCACTGGGTTGTCATACTGTATCTAGGACAAGGATGAGGCAGAAGTCAAACATAAGTCATAGTGCTCCTCTGAATTTCTGAGCGATCCTGTGAGTCCCCTAACTCCAAGCAGAGGTAGTGAAGAAAAACCATCTTAACATTAGCTTTGTGTATTGGAGCGGTAGGGAGCAGTGGGGATGGGATAGTTACCAATGGCCACGCTGTAGGCTGGGGCCAGCCTCTTCTCTACCATCCCCTCCATCCTCACTTCCTGCTTCAGGCTGAGTACTCAATCTTACTTTGTACCAAGCTGCTACTGTGCTGTCAGATGCCAAATGTGTGGGTCATATGGGGTGACCTGGAAGGACAGCTCCCCAACCTTTGTGTGGTCTTTTCTTAACTTTGAAAGCTAGAAAGGATAGAGCTTGAAAAACACTGTAAAGCAAACCAAAACAACCACAGAAGAAAAATAAACAGAACATCCAAGCACACAAAACAAAGGCTTTGGATTTCATGAACTCTTCTTTATCCCCCATTACTTACTCTTATTAATCACATTGGAATATCTGGTTTCCAGAGCTCTTACCTACAACTAGGGCTCCTTCTTGGATACACCTTTGTAATTCTAAACCGTGCTTGGATGTGGGACAGGTGACCCACAGAGCTCCAGTGTGCTCTCCTTTTCACTGCTATTATGTAGCCCCAGGCACAGAACTAGCCAATCAGCTTGATTTATAACCTGAAACCACCCCACCTCCTACCTATCTGTTACTGACATTTATATAACACAGGTTCTCAAAAGTGTTTACAGCATACTTTCTGCCTTTACAACCATGGAGGGCTTTATTTTAATTTTAAATTGCCAATTTAATTTGACTTTCAAAAAGCTTCAGATTTTTGGAGCATTTTGGGTTTCATGTTTTTCAGGTGAGGGATGCTCAACTTGATAGTCTATGCAAATATTCCAAGATCTGGAAAATCCTCAAAATCTGAAATACTTCTGTTTCCAAGCATTTTGGATAAGGGATGAAAAGCATGTACTTATTTCAGATTCCTTTTGCATCATCACCACCATCATCATTATCATGAGAAAATATCTAGGAAACAGAAAAATACCAAGGAGAAAATAGCAATAGTGCTGATTCCCTCCACTCAGTTAAGCACTCATCCTGAATATTTACTTCCAGACTTTTACAGTCTCCATTACCCCGTTAAAATTCACAAAGTAATATATGCATTCATTTAAATAAAAAAGTATGTAAAAACATTATAGAAAAAGCAAAAATCTGCTTGGTGTGGTGGCACACAGGTGTAATCATAGCTACTCTGGAGGTGGACATTAGGAGGACCAAAGTTCAAGGCTAGCCTCAGCAAAAAGTTAGACATGATCTCAACAAACAAGTCAGGAATGGTAGCCCACATCCGTAATCCAGCTGCACAGAAGATATAGGTAGGAGGATCACAGTCCAAGACAAAAAGTGCAAGACTCTACCTGGAAAATAAACTAAAGCTAAAAGGGCTGGAGGCATGACTTCAGTGGCAAAGAGTTTGCCTAGCAACTGCAAGGTCCTGAGTTCAAACCCCAATACCAGACCCCCTCCTCCCCAACCACCCCACCCTCTCCCTGGCAAAAAAAGAAAGTTTCCCTTGACACCACCCCAAAAGGACCTTTATAGATCTAGTAGGTCTCTTTGCAAATTTACTATTGTTTTGTCACCTGCATCTATACCACCATGCTATACCCTTCAGCCATTTCCACTGACATTCTGTATCCAAAGTCTGTCCATACTTTAATAACGGATTCATTTTTGTAGCTGCATAGCAGTCTATGCTTGTGCGTCAGTAAGTAGTTTATTTGTTCTGCTTTTGATGAACACTCAAGTCATTTTCAGTTTCTTACTTTAGCAAACAAGGCACATTTGGAACTCTCTACGATTGAAGCCTAGAAGAGGGAATTGTTGGGTTACAAGTTAGGCATATTTTTAGCTTTAACAAGTACACTAAACTGCCTTCCAAAGGGCTTCTTCCAACTGACACACCAGTAGCAGTGTATAAGGGTATATGCCTTTTCACATCCTTGCAAAAACTTTTGTTCTTGTCAAATTTGTCCAAGTATAATTTCCACGGGCTAGAAATATGACCGTCAAAACGTTTCTACAAATAGGTAATACATGTTCAAAATTATGCTACTCAGTAATTAATGAGATTTGTAGGATGAAAGAGCTGATTCCAGGACCGTTTTGGAGTCAGGCATGGTGGCACACACTGTAATTCCATCATTCAGGACACAGGAGGATTAGATACAAAATGATTAATAACCTGTTAAGGTAATTTTTTTCTTCAGGGCAAAAATTATTTGCATGGCTACCAGGCACAAATCCACAAGTTAATATATAACTTCACAGAATCTTATCCCTTTGTTAATATTTTTTCTTAAATTTAAGAAAGTGTATCAATCCCCTGGATTGAAAAATGGCATGTCATTGTGTTTTCATCTGAGTGCCTTTCCACACCTGCTGTTTTTACTTGGCCGTCTAGTTTTTCCTCTCATTCCAGAGCTCTTTAAACACTATCATGAAAACACTTTCTTCAGTGACCAGGAATGCCTGGTGCAAGGTAAAGACCGCCTTACCAAGTTAGGCTCTTAGACAACAGGGAAATGAAGACCTGATTGTTCCCAGCAAAGACTGCACAGGAAGGATGCCCCCAAACAGGATTAATTAAAGGGCCCTAATTCTGGAGGTCCTGGAGATGCTGCGGGGGCGCGGGGCAGCTACAGAAAGGGGCGTGTGTCCAGGGAGGATAGGGGGGACAGGAGTGCCCCACTGGGGCTTTGCAGCGGGAAGGAGGGCACAACTCCTACCTTCCCCCTCAGTGCCTCTGCCCTCAGGTCCCTTCCCTCTCCAGGGCAGACACCTCTGGTCTGTGTGTCACCACAGGGGAAGGGCAGACAGCCCTGGATTGTGGAAAACAACTTTTCCTCCCAGTTTACACAGCAAAAGAGAGGCTGACCAACACCGGGTCAAAGACCCAGACCATGGTCTTGAAAGGTTTATCTGCAAGTCACTGCTCAAGTCTCAATAAAACGTGTGTATGTGCGGGTGTGTGTTGGGGGAAGTGGCACATCTAGGTTCAGAGAAAAGGCCACCTGTCCCCAGCCTCTAAGGCTTCTGCCCCACCTTTAGGCTTTGGAGACGTTCTAGAAACTTTGTAAAGGCTGTAGGGCTCCCCTGATTCTCCCACCCTGCCCACGTTGCCGTGACATTATTCAAGTCGTGTCTCTTAAAACTATCCTTAGACGTTATCTTCTAGCTGGGAAGGTCCTAGTCCCGCGCTGTGAATGCGTCCTCAGAGTGGACAGTTTTCCCACGGTGACATCGGCTCACCCAAGACGCCCTCTCCCAAGAGACAGATCCCTTTCCCACCACCGTTTTGTCCACCTCCCTTTGGGTGGGCGACCCCTCGGCTGGCTGGCCGAGCTGCTGAGCCCTCCACGCTGGCATGGCACAGTCTTGCCCCTGCTCCCCACCCCCCCGTCTGTGTCCCGCTGCGTCCCGGGCCTTGGTAAGGCTGAGGCACGACCGGAATGCGGGAGAGGACGCGGGCGGGGACTCCGGGCACCGAGGGGACACGGGGCTGGCCCGGCCGGGTTCCGGTCCCGGGTGGGGGTGGGGATGGGGGTGGGGAGGGCGCAGGGCGGCTCTGAGACGCGGGGCAGGCCCCCCCCTGCGGACCCCTGGCGCCACGCCCAGTCCCGCCTCGGGACGCCGGTCCTTTCCATTCCCTAGCGGGCCGGGCGGGGCGCGCGCTCCCTCACCGAGAAGTCCCGAGGCTGAGAAAACGGAAAGAGAAAAAAGTCTCCTGGAGCGCGGGGCCGCCCCGCTCTCCACGCCCCTGCTCCTACAGTCGCCGGCCCGCGCAGAGGGGCCGCGGAGGGAGGCGCAGCCCAGAGGCCGCATCACGGGCTCGGGACGCGCCCGGCCAGGCCACCCCCTCCGCGGCGGCCGTGCCGCGGGAGGCGGGAGGGAGGCGGCGGCCCAGCCTCGACGTCGACGACCGCGCCGCCCGCGATGGGAAGGGCCTTATAAAGTCGCCGCCCGGCCCGGCCCGGCCAACTAGTCGCGGCGCCACCCGAGCCCGGGCCGCACGCAGCCTCCCGGGAGTGCGCGCAGAGACCCGGACTTAGCTGGGCAGACGCCGTACGGGACAGACCCAGCTCCGGACGGACCTCGGTCCCCGTAGAGACTCAGAGCCACCGCGCCCATCCCACTCCGCACAGCCCCCGGGCCCTTGACCCACTCGCGGCCCCGGCGGGGCGCTTCCTGCAGGCCGGCCGGCGGGAGGGCAGGGGCCGCGGGCGCCCCCGGCGGCGGGGGCATGCACGGCCCGCGCGCAGCATGGCCTCGGCGGTGTTTGAGGGCACGTCTCTGGTGAACATGTTCGTGCGCGGCTGCTGGGTGAACGGCATCCGCAGGCTCATCGTCAGCCGGCGAGGCGACGAGGAGGAGTTCTTCGAGATCCGCACCGAGTGGTCGGACCGCAGCGTGCTCTACCTGCACCGCAGCTTCGCCGACCTGGGTCGCCTGTGGAAGCGCCTCCGCGACGCCTTTCCGGAGGACCGGCCCGAGCTGGCGCGCGCGCCGCTGCGGCAAGGTGCGGGTGTGGGGCGGGAGGCGCCGCGGATGGGGCTTGCGGAGAGGCGCGATGGCGAGGTAGTTTCAAAGTGCAAGGGAAGTAGGCGGTGAAGAATTAGCCTGAGCCTTCGCTCAGAAATGGGCCGGGAACATTTAGACTCGGGGCGCCAGGGTGGCAGCGTTAGGAGGATCAGGAGCACCAAGCCACTCACTCGTGCAAAGAAATGAGAGGGAATGGGAAACGGACCGAGGCCGGCAGGACGCGCGCCCTGATTGTCCCCAAGGATGAGTCACTTCTAAGGAAGGCGCGCCCTCGCGAGGGGACACCCGGGGCTGACCAGTACTGGACCTCAGCCTCCTGCTCTGGAATGGCAGCCGCATCCTCCGGCCTCCTGGGAGTGCCAGCCGGCGACAGGGATCCTAGGGAGCTGGGGCAGGTTTGGGAACAGTGATCGAGTGTCGGAATTGGGGTCGCATGGGGTCTGGCGATAGTCCCTGGGAGGGGCCGCGCCTCCCTTCTCCAGCGACAGCTGAGCCAGAGCACGAGGTGCCACGCAGCAGCGCTTCTGCCCCTCCTCCGAGGGGGCCGCCCGCCTGCGGCTGCAGTGGACAGCCCAGGGTCCCCACCCCTGAGCTGGTCCGCATTTGGATTTGATTAGCTCGGCAGCCTCCTCCCTGGCCTTGTGACTGGTCCTTGTTGGCCGACACTGTTGTTTTCAGAAACTGTGTGGTGGCTTCTTTTTTGCTACTGCCAGAGAAGGGGCTGGAAGACAGGAAGACGCAAGAGGAACTGGAGTTGAGACAGAAAAAGGGATGGGAGGGTAGGCTGAGGACAAGGGACAGGAAAGAATACAGCTTCTGAGTAGGGTCCTTTCCACAGTGTGAGGCCACTTGTAGCGCTGAGACACTTGGTCTTCTTGCAGGCGTCCCAGAAAGCGAAGTTACCCAAGTTAAGCGACCAGTACAAGTGTTGCTGGCTGCCTGTCTGGCTGAGGTCTTGAGATAACCTCTGCTTTCCCCTGGCGATAGACCCCACCCCTCTTGTGAATTCTGTGGCTAATTAGCTCAGTTCTCATGACATGTCCTTTGGCAGAGACATCATTTGGAAAGACTCCCAAAGCAAGTGCATGGAGGCCCTGAGTGAGAAAGTCCGCCTCTGGCTTCTGTTTGCTCTCCAGGATCTCACATGAATAGCTGTTCTCTAGTCCAGTATTTGTTGTTATATTTGTAATTTAACAAATGAAAGTCCAAATCAGGAAAGCATAGTGAAGGAAGGGCAGTTTATTCAATGCAGCAAGGCAGGCCATAAACAAATTGGACTTCCTGAGTCTTGCTCTGACCAGGTGTCCCAGCAAGGCTGACCCAGGCAGAGTGGCTGGGACCCAGCTCCTCATCTGTGACATACCTACTGCCTGTATTCTTTGTGAGTGTCTGACTAGTAAGCCCTCCCTTTCCCATCAGCATCAGCTGCTTCTGGGTAGGGTTGCTGGTCCAGAAGAGGGGGAAAGAGGTGTGGCTTGAGAGTGGAGGCACAAGTGGAAAGGGAGGTGAGCGGGAGGACTTTTATTTTGCTGCACATGCCTGGACTCTGTCTCTTTTGCACTCATGCAAATTGGGCTGGGGTTAGTTCCAGGGTACACACTTGTCTCCAAGGAGCAAAGAAAAGAATATTTAGAAAGTGTGTGATTATTATGGAGAAAAAGAAATGATGGGATGATAGCTGCTTCCAAGTACCTCCAGGGGAGCAGTAGTAGGGAGTGGGCTTGATGGTGATTGGCTGGCAAGGGCAGTTGGGGTGAGGGCCTGTGGTTGGTCTTAAAGTACTTTCTGATAGCCTGCTGTGCAACTGTTAGAATCCCTGCTCCTGGCTGGTGGTGAGTAGTGTCTTTCAGGGGCCCAACCAGTACCCTTGGAGAGGATGGAGGGGGTTCTGGGACCCGAGGAGAAGTGACCGTAAGCCCTGGCTCCATGCTGGTCCTTGGGTCTTTGCTTGGAGACAAACTGACCCTTCCCCAGCACCATCTGGGTTTTGTTGTATAATGCCAAGGAGGTCCCTTTCCTTTCTCTGATCCTTTTAAGTCATGTGCTGAGTCAAATATCTCACAATAATATACAAGAAGGTGCTGCCTTATTTTCGTGCAGATTTATTATTTGCATGGATTTGCAAACTATAAACACAAAAGGCAACCAGATGTTTGTGTGTTTTGGGATTCCCAGCTTTTCTCAGTTTAATTCCGCTCAGATTCCTGGTCTATATTTATTGAAATTTCTGGGCTGCGTTAAATTTGCACTGTGGTTTCATTAAAAAGCATCATGAGGAAATGGTCCATTGCTTCTGCTGGTAGCTCTTGTTAGGGTCAGACTGCACAATCTGCGTGGAAGCCTGGGCCCTACTTTGCATTTCTGAATCTGCAGGCAGTTAAAGGGATGCTGAACCCTTGCTCTTTGCCCCTCAAGTACTATTGTGGGGGAGATGTTTACGTAGAGAGAACAGTACTTTTTCTCCCCCTGCACACACCATAGTGTTATGCTTGTTGGTTTTCCATGGGCCTTGTGTGTGTCCTAGTGACACCCTGGTTAGGGGTGTTTAAACTTACGGTGTGAGGTACAGTGCTTACCTTCCTGGCCTCCTCTTTGGTGAGCTAGGGTAAAACTGACCTTGGTTCTGTCCTGTACCCTCTTTTCTTGAACTCTTGGTCCCCATGGCAGCAGGATGGTAACTTTCCACGTGCATCTGATATACCCACCTCTTGCTTTCTTGTCCCCAGCCTTAGGGGAGGGAGGTGGCTGCTGCCTTGGTAAATTATCCTTGGATACTAAGGTATTCCCCTCTGGCTTTTCTTCACTCTTAACACCAGGTAGACCACATCTTGAATTCAGATACTCTGTGTGCAGTACCTAATGTGGTTCGGAGTTTCCTGCCCAGACCATGACACACAGTCTCTTGTTTATATTTCTCCCTTCTAGGAAAGTCTGGGGTTTAAAACATAAACAGAATGCAGAATTTGACTGTTGAGACTCCTGGACTACTTTGATCCTTTTTAATTAACACCTATTTCAGACCTGTGATGTCAGAGATGGCATGGTCACCCCTGTTGCCACAGATCCTAATTCTAAGTAGGCAAGTGATCTTTGATTCTTGGCAACTGTACAGCCAAGAATAAAACATTTTAGTTTTGCAGTCACTCAGCCAGTCATATATCTGCTGAGTGCCTACCATATCCCAGGCACTATGGTAGATGCTGGGGACACTGAAGTGAACAGAACAAACCAAAATCAAAACATCTCCCTGCCTTCATATATTCTGTAGGAGAAGTACAATAACAAACAAGATAAACAAGTGAAAAAATTATGTTGGATAGTGGTAAATGTTCAGAAGAAAAGTAAGTAAGCCATGAAAGGGGCTGTGACTTTAGGGGCACAGAAGTTTAGTTCCCTGATTTCATGCCGACAGATCTAGTACTGTGTCCTGGGCCCCCAGTGACACCTGAGTTACCTTCCCAACTTGAGAAAGAGCCAGCTTCAGCAACTTCTAGGTCATGGTTATTTCCCACCGAATTTCAAAGGAGAAACTTGCTTCTGCCTCACCAGCATCCTGGATCCCCTTGGGCCACCTCCCAGGGACATGGGTAGCCTTCCCTCTTAAAAACAATTTTGGGCTGATATTCCTCTGCTCTCTGTTTTGACAGATAATTTTCTAGAGGCAAAAAAGTTTTTGCATTATGGTTAGTTAAAATAAGAGCAGAGTCAAGGGCCACAGTGGTGCCTGTCTGTAATCCCAGTCATAGAGGAGACATAGGTTGGATGATCAGAGTCTGAGGCTGGCCCAGGGGAAAAAAATCTAAAGACCCTATCTGAAAAGTAACTAAAGCAAAAAGGGCTGGGGGTGTGGCTTAAGTAGTAGAGTGCCTGCCTAGCAAGCACAAGGCCCTGAGTTCAAACCCAAGCTGCACCCCCCTCACCACCAAAAATAAAGAGCAGCATCAAAAGTGTATATAGACAGTTTTCATACTCTGAAAAGCCAATCAAATACTATGGATTTGATCAGTTTGGCACCTCCCAATGGAGCTTAGCGAGGAGTGAAAGGTTCTCATGCTTTGTGACTCGGGGACTGCAGAAAGACCTGTGGTAAGTCTGGTGCCTACTGCATTTGGCCAAGGGTGTTCATAACAGATGTCTAGGCCACAGCTTCCTCCTGGGAAGGGCTTAGGCCCTGGGGCAGCAGCAGACTGGAGATCTAGGTAGAAGGGCACATCATTGTCAGTGGTTGGTACTGGCATCACACCGAAAGACAGCTTTTTTTTTTTCTTTTTTTGTGTGTGTGCTGGGGATGGAACCCAGGGCCTCGGGCATGCTAAGCACACGCTCTGCCACTGAGCTACATTCCCAGTCCCTTTTATTGGTGTTTTTGTTCATTCTTGACCTCCTTGGGTCACAGTAGGTGCTCACTGACTACTTTGGTTGCTTTGGTCATACCATGGGGGAGAAGCCTCCAAAAGCCCCTCAGTCTGGTTTCTCTCTAGATGCTGTGAGCAGGGAATGTGAGGCCAAGGGGTTCTGTGCTCCTTCAAGTGATGCCACATCATCAGCTCACAGTGTCACATGATGCCAGCTGTTCTGACAGACTCCTCAAGTCCACATCCCTCTTATCCCACACCAAACTGAGTGGTGACAGTTGACACAGCCACATCACCACTCACTAACTTACACTTGCAGGTTTTCCTGCCCTTTAGTTTTAAGACCAAAAGTCTAATTATCCTTTGCTGACAGTCAAGTAGGGAAAACATAATAAGCAGCAATTGGACAGAGGGTTAAGAAAGGAGGGAGGGGCAGCAATTGGACAGAGGGTTAAGAAAGGAGGGAGGGGCAGCAATTGGACAGAGGGTTAAGAAAGGAGGGAGGTAAGGAACCTTTACATAGAGTATCCGACCAGTCACCTTCCCTGCTCCTGCATGAGAAAATCCAGGCCCCGTGAGGTTGGATGACACAGCCAGGTCATGGTGGGAGGGATTAGGTTCA